TCTCTCTCTCTCTCTCTCTCTCTCTCTCTCTCTCTCTCTCTCTCTCTCTCTCTCTCTCTCTCTCTCTCTCTCTCTCTCTCTCTCTCGTGGTCTGCAGATAGCGAGAGGGTGAGGGAGAGTTGGTGGACTTAGAAGTGGAAGAAGAAGAACTCTCTTTCTCTCTCTGTCCGGTACTAACCTGTGAAGGTGGCGCCTTGTTGCAGGTACATCGAAGACGAAACTGGAGCTATGGCGCCACAGGTAAGTCTCCCTGGCCTCCGCCAACCATCTCTCGCTCTCCAACACTACTCTAGCTCCTAATAGCGCCCAGCGCTGAAGACTACTGCTAACACTACCACTACTACTGCAGCACTCCTCCAGAGTGCTGATGCCCAATCCTGAAGACTGCCTCCTGCCTCCTGCCTCCTGCACGTGAAGTGCCTGGGAAGTCCCTATGAACTACCTCGTGACCACCTGCAGCCTGTAGGGCGGGCCAGTCTTATATAGTGCTGGCCCGTCCAGGAGGCTGCTCTTGCCAACGCCAAAATGTGCCAGACCCTGGCGTTGAAGTTCAAACAAAGGTTGTCTTGAAAACAGGCCCAAAATGGCCTGTGCTAAAACCCTGGTCTGGTGCCTAAGTTTCAGGGAAGGTCGACTTTATGAGGGCCTGAAAATGGCCCTCATTTTTAGGCTTTTAGGCTGAGACGACACAGGGCCTGTAGGCCCTTGTTTTCAGGCTTTTAGGCTGAAACGACACAGGGCCTGTAGGCCCCTGTTTTCAGGCTTTCAGGCTGAAACGACACAGGGCCTGTAGGCCCTTGTTTTCAGGCTTTTAGGCTGAGACGACACTGGTCGGGCCCTGCAGGCCCGTGTGGCTGGCACTGGCTGCGCAGTATGCCACACCTATCTGCACTCCCTCCCAACAATGACTTCCTCTGCCCTCCGTGATGATGCCCATGCAGGCGAGTGCTCCCTCCCTGGCACCCCCTGAGATCCCCATCCCTATAGGCTCCTCATGGAACAGTACGAGTCCCCCTAACAATCAATCTAAATACCCTGTGTGCAGAAATTGCGCTAGGCTGGGGGACAAGTGGGTGGAGTGTCAACCTAACACACCTGAGCATGGGCAGGAGAGGCTGGAGGGCCGATCAGAATCGAACTGTTAAGCTCTCCATTGCATTTGAGTGCTCTAACCAGCCGAGCTACCATGCACTGCTACCAACGGGCTATTTTGATGATAAGAAACCAAGTTGTCCCAGGCACATACGTGGGGGCAATGGGAATTGAACCTACGACCTCCTGAATGCAAGTTGTGTGCCTTACCAACTGAGATACACCCATTACCCCAGGCAGTGTCTAATGGTTGTAAGGCCAAGGTCTAACCTATGGGAGCCCTACTCTAAAGTACTACTACACCTAGCAGAGCCATATGTGTTTGCAACCTGCTGCTTTTTGCATTCTGTATGTAATCATATTCCGCTCATGTTGTATGTTTTTTATTGCACATCCTTGTCTGAGCTTTTTTTCTTTTCCCCAAGCTACCCTCTCAGAAAAACGCACACCTCAAAAACAGTTGCCTTGTCCATTCGCTCAACGCTAAAGAAGAAGCTTGTGAGGCAATCAGAGATAGGCTGCTGCCTGTGAGTTCCAAAACACCCTGTCCTTAAGCCAGCTCCTCCGCATGCCTGCCTTACTTCTACTCCATTTGGAGACGACTCCTCTATCGCAGGCACCTTATAACCCTGCCTCTCTTTTACTCCGCTTAGGGCTGGCAGGGAAGCAGATCCTCTTTCTGTTGACCATGGCAGACTCTGCACCATGTTGCCTGTTCAGTCCACAGTTCTTTTCTTCTCCTTCGAAGGAGGCAGTTGTTCACTGCCTTCTGAACCTGGCTGGTGTTGTGCAAAATACCGCGTGAAAAAAGGATAGCTCAACGGAGAGATCTGCCAGTGCATGGGCTTGATTGGCGAGCAGGTTGGCCACAAAGAGCCCAACCATGAACAAACCTCATTCCAGTATGTCGGACACATCTGTCTGATAGGCGAAGGAACCGATGACCTGCATACGTGTTTGCAGTGACATGCCCATGGTTGACAACCTTGAAAAGTGAAGAAGAGGGTGTGATGTAAAAAGACCAAATTGAAGTTTTATAACCTGAGTTTTGCCATTCGCTCCATTATTCCCCTCAAGGCAGGATAACAGCTGCTGAAGATGCTATAAATGTTGTCATACAACTTAACTTCCTCAGGTGAAACAGAGTGAAATTTCTCCACTGCGAACCATTCGCCGGAAGGTACAAGGGTGTCATGCCAACCTAGCCATTTCCCTGCCAAGATTGCAGCACCTTTGATTGTTACTTCCTGCGGGTCTGCAAGCACTTCAACTTTTCTGTCAAAGACTCCCGCAATTATTTTAGGCCAAATTCGAGATCTTGCTCCGCCTCCAACAACACGAAGAGGGGCCAAGCTGCATTGCGGCTGCTTTGTGTCAGCATCTGCTTCACCCATGACGAACAGTGCATCCCTCGCAGCACGCAGTCCAAACACAACTCCTTCCATAACTGCACGCAACATTGTAGATCGGTCAGCTACGAGAGAGAGCCCAAGAAACGCTCCACGAGCGTAAACGTCGTCAACAGGACAACGTTCACCGTTCAAGTAAGGAAGGTAAATCACCCCCCTTGACCCTGCAGGTGACTGTGCAGCAATTTCATCAGCGTCAGCTACTGGCATTCCACCGGGAATATCATGGCCTATCGCAGAAATGGCCCATTTGAAATTTCCTCCGCCTGTCATTATGGCACCAAGCTTGAGGACCAGGTCAGGGTCCACATGGGCCAGTGTGAAAACACCTGGTATTGACTCTGGCATTACTTCTTTTTCAAACTTGTCATCCATTTCTTCCGCGTCCCCTTCCCCGGTGATACCCCTTGCATTTGCAACTGGTTCCTGCAAATTGGACGACCTGGTACCGGTAGGCATTGTAGTCGTAGGCATTGTATTGTTGCTGCTGTTGCTTTTGTGACCTCGCCCCTGTCGTCGGAAGGAGCCTGCGACCCAGCCTGCTGTTCCAATGCAAATATACAGTGGTCCAGGAACGCCAGCACCTGATCCTATAGTGCTTGCTCCGACATCACCAATGCTGTGGAACACTGGAAGGCCCGCCAGTTCAGGGTTACCCCACTGTTCCGCCACCTGTTTCAATACCTCACCACATGGTTCATCAGCTGGGACAATATCAGGTAGTTTACTAATCCACTGGTCTAGCCCAACTTGCTTCATCAGATCAAAGGCAACAGATCCTGGGGATTCTGCAAGAAAAAGACCTGTAGTTGATGCTGTTGTTGCATCAGCCACACATTTCCCGGACATCCGCCAGACCACGAAGTCGTGCCCGGCAAACAGCAGCCTTGAGCAATCATGCACTGCAGTGGGAGCATGTCTATCCAGCCACCGGAGCTTGGCAAGAAAACTCCATGAACCCTGCTTAGTTCCAGTCAAGGCTGCAATTTTTTCCACCCCTCCTCCGAGCACGCAGACCTCTTCAAGTTCCAAAGAAGCTCTGCCATCCGAATACAGTATTGATGGGGGAGTCCTCAGAGAAGGATCCTTAGGCAATAATACCACATCCTGCATTTGCCCAGTCACTGCCACAGCTATGATCTTCCATGAAGGACGCGATTGAGATTGAGATGAGCCTTTCTCTACACTCATGCATTGCCTCACGGCTGCACACGTGGCGTCCCACCACTCCTCCGGATCCTGCTCCACCGTCTTCGAGTCTCCAACAGGCTCAGATTTGGTAGAGGTATGTGCGCAAAACCCAGTCCTCTTGACACGTCCAGTGCGAGTGATAATCGCCGCCTTCGTGCCACCTGTCCCGACATCGATCGCAAGGACGGCCTCTTCGTCGTTTTCTAATGGTGCTTCCGGTCTTCCGCTAGCGACCGCCACACACAAATTCTGTTTTTGCGATGGCCTAATACCGCATCCAGCGCCGGCTGTGGCGCCGCCGCACGAACGACCCGCCTCTGCGATTCCTCTTCCCATTTGCCTGGCGAACAGATGATAGCGGCGCTGAGCTGTCTCGAGGACGAGTTTGTTCCTGCAGACTAGGCTTTCAAGACCAAGGGCTGCATCCGCATGGGAAATGCCGACGGATCTGGAGGAAACGACGAAGGTTGTGAAGATTCCCACCGCGCCTACAGCAAGATGGTGCCCCCTCTCCAAGCCGACTGCTGGCAATCCTGATCCCGTCAGTCGATCAGGCAAAATGGCAGAGCCAGATCGACGACAAGCGGTCAGCGAGCAAATCGAACGGCAACCGAAGGAAGAAGAAGAAGAAGGAGAGGAGGAAGAGGACGGTGAGAGTCAGTGAAAGATGTGGACGGGTTTTCCTATTAATGTGAGAAACGGACTGATGAATGCTGACGAAAATTTGAAGCACGGATGCTTCTGCGTTGCTGTCAATTGCAGAATACACGCTTCACCTTCCCCGTATTTCCGGAAAGGACCTTGACCATCAATCAGTCCGAACTACCTCCTAGGTGTTCAGCAGCACTGGCATGTCGTTTTCCGTGCGTACTGCTTTACAGTGAATCTGGCGGCAATCGCAGTCAGCTACGTTCGGCGAGATCAGAAAGCATTGATGTCTTCAGGCTACCATAACCAAGCGGCCATTCATCGCAGTCAGGCATGTCGTTTTCCGTGCGTACTGCTTTACTATAGTGAATCTGGCGGCAATCGCTGTCAGCTACGTTCGGCGTGATCAGAAAGCATTGATGTCTTCAGGCTACCATAACCAAGCGGCCATTCAGCCGAGAAGCCTTCGACTCTGAGGCTCAACGGCGGGGGCAGCGTTAATTACTGCAAGTTTTGGGAAATTTTGGCGCCGGAGTAGAAGGGCGGCGGGGGGTTAGCTTCTCCAACGTCATTGCCAATACAGGCGTCGGGATGGGCGGCAGGAGACGGGCAAACTCCTCGTTGACACGACGGCACCCAATCAACAACCCCAGGTGGCTAAAGACGTGGCATTGGTGTCCATCTTGGGGATCAACGTCTTGGAGAGCACGCCCACTATTTGCAGTACAAGAACATCAGGCCTGGTTACTTGAAGCATATCTGGAAAATGGTGAATTGGTGTGACGTGGGGGGAGAGCAAACAGCTTCATTATCAATGGGAAAAGAGGGCCAGGAATCCCTCACAAACAACCCCGGTGAATATACTGGGGCCCATACCCACCTTACGCTCCAGTGTCCTGGTGAGAAGTCCGTATTTTTTGTGTGGTGACTCGGCCGTGACGAGTACTCACCACGCTTCCCTTTTTCCCTGCCTTTAATGGGGGTTGTGGTGCCTCGTCGCCGGCGCGCACCAAACGTGGTAAATCAGGGAAAAAAACCAAAACTGGGGCCCTTCGGTGCTAAGGCCGGCCCCGCTGACCCTGGCCTGTCCGGGCGGCCCCGACCTTATCCTGTACAACTCTGGTGAGTGGTCAAGTGTGGTGAGATGAGGAGCGGCTATTGGTGAGGAAAGTACCGAGGTGAGTACTCACCAGTGGAAATATAGGGTTTGGTGACTGGTGGAGCGAGGCCCTGTGCCTGCACCAGCTTGGCTGATGCATGTCAGGATTGACAGGATTGGCTAGGATTGGCTAGGGGACGCTATGAGGGATTGGCCTAGTGGTTTTGTTGTTGCTCTTTGTTATTCCTGCTTCCTGAGGGCCCCGGCAATCTTTCCTTAGTCTTTGTATATGGGACGCTGTCGGCGCGAATACCCTGACAAGGGTATCCGCCATGGATTTTGCAAGTAACAGAAAAGGATTTCGATTGACAGTTGGGAGCATTGCATGAAACTCTTTGAAACGAGTAGGAGGCCCGCCACACAGGCTATCGAAAACCGAGTTTTCGACAGTTTTGCATCGCCACACATACTTTCGACGAATTCCGGTTCACAAATTTTTCGACAGGTGTCAGATGTGTCTCGACAGCCACTGTCGAAAACTCGTTTCCTCCCGCCTGCAGGTGACGGAAATTCGACAGTGCCCCGCCGGGCTTTTGAAAATTGCGTTCGAATTTGGGTTGGCAGAGACTGCTCCCTGACAGCCGTGGCCTGTTTGTCCGTATGTAGTCAACAGTTGCTGTCGAAAATGGCGTCGACATCTGGTCCGCTTGCGCACACAGATTCATCCATGTAACAACTCCCGACAGGCGACCGCCTTCGCCACACAGCACCTGTCGAAAGGCGGCGTCGACTTGCCAACTTTCGACAACCTCGCCCCCTCGACAGGCTGTGTGGCGATAGGGGGGAAAATTCTTGACGGCCGGACTGTCGAAAATTTACTGACACCTGTCAAAAAATTTCGGCTTTCGACAGCCTGTGTGGCGAGCCTCTAGGGAGTGCATGGGGCGCACACGTTTGAGACACGCGTGATCTTTTTCTAGAATGGCGTAAACCGGCGGAGAGTTTTTGTTTTGATTAAATTTGGATTAGATGGTCTTTCCTGTTTGGCTGATATGTCTGTTTAAACCACCACTCCCCCCGCCACTAGAAAATGCCGAAGTACCGGTTGTTCGCGGCCTACCGGGTCCCAGGCCGATTTTTCGATTGAGATGTGGTCCCCGATGGGCCGCCCGCGGTCGGATGGCGAAGTTCGAGGCCGATGTTCGAGTTGCTCCTTCCGGACATCGAGGTGGCTGCCCCGAACGTATTTCCAAATTTCTGATTTTCGGGAAATGCACATTACTTTTCTATGTTTTTTGTTTAGGCAATTTTATTTCGTGATTTTTTTTTTTTTTTACTTTTTTTTTTTTTTTTTTTGGATTCGTTTTCACTTTCGTGCCTGCGGAGGAAAAGACAGCGTCGTTTCGGGCGAGACGCGTGACGAGCCCACCCTGTAGCCATCCACTGTCGAAAAGCCACGGATGGGTGGCTGATCTTCGTGCACGTGTACCTTTCCCACGTGGCACCCTATCCTCACTATGGACCGAACCTAAGGGGTGGCCGGTCATCGCGACCCCTGCTCGCTGAATGGCTGACGTGATGGGAAAGGCTGACGTGCTGGGAACGTGGGGAGATATAACACCCCTTCAGCATAGTGGCGAAAGAGCCCGACGTCGCCGTCTCTCTCTCTCTCTCTCTCTCTCTCTCTCTCTCTCTCTCTCTCTCTCTCTCTCTNTCTCTCTCTCTCTCTCTCTCTCTCTCTCTCTCTCTCTCTCTCTCTCTCTCTCTCTCTCTCTCTCTCTCTCTCTGTGTGTGTGCAATGTCGGGTTTCCGTCACTGTCTGAGTGTGACCCTGCGGCGTCCGTGCCCGTCCACGTTTGCCTTTCCTGCGGTACACGGACAGCCATAAAATGATCCCTGTCGCCATCGACGATGGCATCCGAGGTTCGACTTCGACGACTGTCGTCTCGACGTTTCGTTTTACCTCGGCCATCGGCGACAGCGACAGGCGGTGAGTCCGACAGGCACACCACTCTGCCCCCGTTACACCTCAACTTGACATTGAGAAGATTGAACTAGTGAAAAGCACATGCACATAGAGGAAATATCAACCAAGTATGGACCGGAACACTGCAACAAACATAAACTTGACAATGAAAAGATTAAACTGATGAAAGGCACATGCACATGAAGGAAAGATCAACTAAGTATGAACCGGAACATCAGGACACACCTGAATTTGACAATGAGAAGATTGAACTAGTGAAAAACACATGCACATAGAGGAAAGATCAACTAAGTATGAACCGGAACATCACAACACACACGAACTTGACAATGAGAAGATTGAACTAATGAAAAACACATGCACATAGGGGAAAAATCAACTAAGTATGAACTGGAACATCACAACATACACGAACTTGACAATGAGAAGATTGAACTAATGAAAAACATTTGCACATAGAGGAAAGATCAACCAAGTATGAACCAGGACACTACAACAGACATGAACTTGACAATGAGAAGATTGAATTGATGAAGAGCACATGCAAATGGAGGAAAGATCAACTCACATGAACTTTGATAATGAGAAGATTGAACTAATGAAGATCACATGCATATGGAGGAAAGATCAACACACATGAACTTGGCAATGAGAAGTTTGAACTAATGAAAAGCATATCCACTTGGAGGAAAAATTAACTAAGTACGAACCCGAATACTTGAACACGCATGAACTTGACAATGAGAAGATTGAATTAATGAAGAGCCCACGCACATGGAGGAAGGATCAACTAAGTATGAACCGGAACACTACAACACACATGAACTTGACAATGAAAATATTGAACTAATGAAGAGCACATGCACATGGAGGAAAGATCAACTCACATGAACTTGACAATGAGAAGATTGAACTGATGAAGAGCACATGCATATGGAGGAAAGATCAACACACATGAACTTGACAATGAGAAGTTTGAACTAATGAAGAGCATATGCACATTGGAGGAAAGATTAACTAAGTATGAACCGAAATACTTCAACACTCATGAACTTGACAATGAGAAGATTGAACTGATGAAGAGCCCATGCACACGGAGGAAGGATTAACTAAGTATGAGCCGGAACACTACAACACACATGAAGTCGACAATGAGAAAATTGAACTGATGAAGAGCATATGCACATAGAGGAAAGATCAACTAAGTACGAACCGACACACCACAACACACATGAACTTGACAATGAGAAGATTGAACTAGTAAAAAGCACATGCACATAGAGGAAAAATCAACCAAGTATGAACCGGATCACTACAACACACATGAACTTGACAATGAAAAGATTCAACTGATAAAAGACACATGCACATGGAGGAAAGATCAACTAAGTATGAACCTGAACATCACAACACACATGAACTTGAGAATGCGAAGATTGAACTAGTGAAAAACACATGCACATAGAGGAAAACTCAACTAAGTATGAACCGGAACATCACAACATACACGAACTTGACAATGAGAAGATTGAACTAGTGAAAAACACATGCACATAGAGGAAAGATCAACCAAGTATGAACCGGAACACTACAACACACATGAACTTGACAATGAGAAGATTGAACTGATAAAGAGCACATGCACATGGAGGAAAGATCAACTCACATGAACTTTGACAATGAGACGATTGAACTAATGAAGAGCACATGCATATGGAGGAACGATCAACACACATGAACTTGACAATGAGAAGTTTGAACTAATGAAGAGCATATGCACATGG